AGCGAGAAATACACAATGCAGTGATCCATATTTGATCAGCGCTGCCTAGTTGCTCTGAGTTTCATGAGTCTGGTCCATTGCTCTGGATGGACTGCAGAGTGGACGGAACTGGATAGACCTACAATCAATCAGCACAGGGAAACATACGACTTTTCAAATATGGACCAGTGATGCTGAACGGAAGGTTGGCCAGACTCCATCTTCCTCTCAAAACCACACTGATAAATATGATAAATTATAATAATAAAAGTACTACTTTAGTTCATTATTATTAGCTGGTCATAAAAGCCTATACCATCTCAATATGCTATTGTGTTACATAGAATGAGGCTGTAACTGAAACTGTGGCTGGGAGCCTTCACAGCCTTGTGAGGACGATCAGCCTTTCTTGACGTCACATGGGCTCATTGAAAGCACGAAGATCAGAGAAAACACTGGCTAGGCTTGAGCTCTGAAGTGTTCAGTGTATGTGTGTTTCTGCATGTGTGTTACCGTGGAGAAGAACATTGTGAAGAGGTAGACGGAGGCCTCAGTGATGTAGTAGCGTTTGATGGCCACCACAATGGCAGGCAGAAAGAACAGGTTACTGAGCGTGAGCAGCAGAGTGGCTGTCAACTGGCGACGGTACGACTGAGCTGTCGAGTCATCAGTGCAGCCCCAACCACTCCGGCCTGCGCGCGCACACACACGCACACACACACAAACACAAACACAGGGATGCTACATATTATTTTAGCTCAAGTAAAAGGCAGTGAGGCTGGGCTTTACGCTTTAGTTCACATTGAAGCTAAGAGTTGAGTTAAGTAAAAGCATTCTCACAAATATAGAAGTATCTTTGTGTGTGTGTGTGTGTGTGTGTGTGTGTGTGTGTGTTGGTGTGTGTGTGTCTGTCGTACCAGCCTTGCAGACGCACGCAGCATACAGGTAGCTGTAGGATCTCAGTAGTCTACATTCACCGTATGTCCCACAGTCCTCTACACAGGCACTGATAAACACCTCTGGGACCACAGACACCAATGATGTATTACCACATTCACTGCTGCAAGACAAACACACACATTTAAATATTAAAAAAACACCCAAAAACAATGAACAAGAGAGAAATAGCTCATCAAACTCCAGGTCTGAGACTTCTAAACGTGAATAAAAGATTTGCGCTTTAATTTCCTGTCATTAGATACTCTCTTAAGATTCTGAAAAAAATATGGATTTGTGTTTTAATTAAAAATGTCTAAATATGAAAAATGCGTAACACACTGTAGCGTTACATAAAACGATATTTGCACGATTACCTGTTACATGTGAGCTGCAGGGTGAGGTACCATGTTGTTGACTGAGGGAAAGGCAGCCTGACAACCGCTTTAGGAACACTGACATTCACCTCAACGCCATACCCTCCAAACAAAGCTGCAGACACACACAGAAAGTGTTTCCTCATAGCTGTCGGACGCATAGTCATAGTGAAGTTGGAACTTATCCCAATCTGCAGTCGGCCTTATTTCATAAACTAGAACTGGCGTAGTATGCCTGCATGACAATATTTGTACACAGCACACAGGAAACATTTTGTATCAAAAACCCAACCTATCTGGGTCAGTCAGCTTATGTGTGCGCTATTCTGGCTTCATGTTGACTGAATGAATAATTTGAGTTACCTGTGCGACAGGGTTGAGAGTGGTTGAGTTCAAGGACTGGAGCCCAGGGAGAGAGACAGGCCACCACCCTGCTGCTGTTGCCCACGGTTGCATTAGTCTGCAAACACACACACGTAGAACACGTTAAAATAGTTTGACTAAAGTAAAACAGCACACAGAACACTGTGTGTGTGTGTTGTGATTCAGTGGTACTCACAGTGTTGAGTGTGAGCTGTAGGTTGAGCGTACCACCAGTAGCTTGTGTGTGCAGGGGGTATGTGAGCATGGTGGGGTGTGTATTTGTCACGCTGACGTTAGGGCCGTTGACGGGGTTGAACCGGAGTGACAGAACGTCCACCTCCTCATAGAGCACAGGGATGCTCCATATACACGCCGACGCCAACAGCGGTGGTAACAGTGACGATCTGTTGCCAAAGGCGACTGCGTCTTCAACCACAGAGCTGTTGCCGGCTGATGAGTTGGTGTAGCTGCTGTTGCCACGGAGCTTGTTGATGTCATCATCTGCTGCGAGGCCAACACTTTTTGGCTTACATCCCACTGAGGCAGACAAATGCAGAATAGAAAACAAATTCCACACACAGGTATTGGATCAGAACAGAGATATAATGTGTGAAACTTATGCTTAATGTAAGTGGCTGTATGTTGCTGTGTTCACCTGTGTAGTTTGAGACGATACTAAAGCTAACAGTACGGTTGTCTTGGCTGCTCTCCACGACAACTCGTAACCAGGTGTGCCAAGGTGGGTTAGAAAGAGCTGCAGAGCAACTGATCCCTGAGCAGTTCACTGTTACTGGGCCATGCTGCAGAGAGGCGGAGCCGAGCCTGAGGACCAGAGAACAGTTTGCACCGTCTACACCTTCCCCTGTCGAACAGTCCGCCACGGAGACAAAGAGAGACGAGGCAAACTCTGGAACATACAACCTAAGACAGACACAAATACATTAATAATACATATATATATATATATATATAGACACATATAGCACAGGATAAAGAATGGGACCACAGTAAATAAAACACAGGCACTTCTTACTTAAGGCGTGCAGGTCTGTCAGGGTCTGCGGTCTGTTGGAGGAATTTGCCCTGCTGTAAAATGGGTGTATCCACTGCTCTCCTGATTGACAGCTGAGGCTGGAAAAAGTACGAGCAGGACGGAAAGCCCTAATAGATAAAGACAAAAACATTTATTTATATATAATTCTCTTCAAAAAATCATGCAAACCCTGTCTAGCACCTTTCATACACCCAGTTTAAAGTGTTTAACAGGGTACAAACAAACTAATTAGAGTAATAAGTCAGAAGTTAGATAAACAGTTAATCAATGGGGGACTAATGCTAACAAGAAATACAAACATACAGATATTAGAACAAAGTGTGAGGCCAGCAATTAATAAATGTGGTTACACAACGAGCTTCAATTCTGCAATAGCAGAACAAAAGCCAAGAAAAAGAAGAAGCAGAGGAATGTGGTTTAGCTACTTTAGATAAGTTTCCGGTGAAACAAGTTGGGCTAAAAGAGATTTTTTTTAAGCAGAGCATGATTTGAATACTTCCACTTTATCCTGGCGTATCAATGCTAAACCAATATCTTATTCTAACAAATCTTTCTTGAAAATGGTCTTCATGAAAATTGCAGCAGTTTTAATGAGCACAGTGTTTGTGTGCAGTAACAGTTTAGTTTAACGTCAAAAACAATACCACAAAGCACGTACAGTATAACGCTCTATACAAACCTTCTGCTCTATGCGCCCATCATCTTCAGGCAAGTGGGCAGCCACGTACCATTCACCGGGAGCAGGATTGGAGAGGTTAAAGGTTGTGGAGCTGTGTGATGTCACCGGTAAGATCAGAGACTGACAGGGGCTCCATAGTGTTGCATTGGGAAACGCTGACCCTATTGGGTTTATAACTGGAGGGGCGCCCCATCGAATATGGCTACAAAAGATAAAGAGACATAAGTTAGAAAGAAAAAGTATTGGCAGAGAACTAGGCAGAGAAGCTGGTTGAGCGGAGGACAACGAGACATAAAGAAGAGTCAGGAATGAAGAAGAATAAAATAAATAGCAGGGATGTTTTCATGATGCAGAACTTAGTCAATCTTACATGGTGACGTTGTGCTGCCCACAGTTGAAGTTGTGGCCCTTGGTGACAGAGAACAGCCAGCGAGCGATGGCAGTTTCCTCTGGTATATGGAACCTCTGAAGCCTCACGTTGCCATACCAACCGTACTTGGACAACTTCTGAGCTGGTTTGGACGAGAGCTCTGATACAAACGTCACCTGTCCATCTGTGGGATACATGACTTTATTATATGACAGTGCTTTTCTATTGAGTGTGGTAAAGTTAGACTCACACAGACATTGTTCTCTCAATGTATCTCATGCATCTAGGATTGTCCTGAAACTAAACATGCAGAAATGCCATGCCCTTTGTTTTTCCTTTCTTCCTAACATGAGGCGATAACAGAGAAGGAGACATTAAGGAAATTACACATTGTGCTAGAGCTGTGCTGATCTAAGCTGCTGTATGTGTTTGAAGATGACATGAATAAACACAAACACTCCACTGACTTTTCCCAAGTTAAATAACAATCTAGCAGTAAAGTGCTGTGTATATTCATCCTGTCACCTCCATACTGATCACAGGGCTGTCCACAATATCTCTTCAACAATGTGAATGGACGTGTAGGAGCGGTGTGAGGCAGTCGTACAGTTCACAAGCTCTCTGGTAGTCAGGTAAACTAACGTTAGCATGTCGAGACAGTTAGCCCACATGCTAACTGCAGCTCCCTCCGACCTCGTCCCCTTTAGCTACAAGCGCTTACCGTCTCCTAATGTCCGAGCTGTCAGGGCGACGACAAGGAGACAACGTAGAAAACAAAACTCCATGTTTCCTTTAGAAGTGTCTGAACCATTACACCGCCCTTTATCCACCTGTAATGTCACACAACTCTGGCGTTATCTACCGCCGAGGAGAAGTCATTCCACCTGCACAGCACTTCCTGAGCGCTTTGTAAATACATGACGTCATGAAAGTCGTCTGGTGCTGCCTTTGCGGTCTGTCGGAAATGTCACACGCGAGCGACCTATTAGTAACGAGCACGGCGTTTTATTCATAATTTGTGTCATTTCATTATTATTATTATTTTTATTTTTAATTAAAGCATCACAAACATCAACTGCCTGTGTGTGTTCATTATAATGTTAATAGTACACGCTTGTCGCTGATGACACGCTGTCATGATTAGGGCTTCTTAAAATTTAAGGGCATTGTAAATGTAAAACATGTAAACATTCATTCAACACATTCGTACCTCTCTGTTGGTTTGAAAGACAAAATAAGGCATCTATTGCAGTGTTGTTTATTACTAACAGGTATTTAGGCTCATCATTGCATGACAATTTAAGCAGAACAATGGCAGCATCTTTAAAACCCTCACAGGTTCACTATTGCATTATATGCACAATTGTGAAAGACTTCAGAGACAGACAATATACAAGAAATAAGCACAAAAAATTATTGACTGCCATTCTTGTCTTATAAACTAAACAAGACAGTCAAATGAAATTGAGAGCAATCAAATGAAAAAAAGAAAGAAAGCCCACTGATTAAAAAAAAATCTCTAAAATTCAAGTCCCCATTGTGTAAAACATTTATCAGACAAGGACATAATATTTCTACATATCTTTTCATATTTGTGATATCTTGCATTTTTTATAAAAAAATGAATCTTTTGGGATTCCTAAGATACACAGCTAAATGAAAAGAAGTGCACATCCAAGTGTCCATCTTAAACAAAAGCACAGACAAAGTGAGTCTGAGACTAAGAGACAATTACACCTTCATCTTCAAGCATCATTCATCAATCATCCATCAGCGTCAAAGTGCATTTTAAATCACTGCATTACTGGCAGGTAGCTGTTGAACTACAAACTAAAGATCATGAATCTAAATTGTGCTCATAGAACATCATAGAAACGTCACATCGTCCTGTGACTCCACCCAGCTCCACTGAGCATCATAGCCCAGCAAAAATGTCTCTCTACTGGGAGCGTGCTCTTCCTTTTCCATCACATTGGTCTGAGAGGCTCCTAAACCTTCCTCAGTTTGGTTCTCTGTTTGTGTCTCCTCTGACCGATTAGTGAGAGCAAAACTACCAGAATCCACTTCTCTTCTTGCCCTATTTGATCTGAGGAGGGCTCTTCTAATGGTGTCAGCACCGGCTTTGATGTGTTTTAATGGAGCTACATCCGAGTTCTGTGGTTGTGTCTTTGGTAAATTGACACTAACCAAACTGCTGGCTGATTCCTGACCGTGCCTGCCATATTGGGAATGAGGGATTTCAAAGTTGAAGGTGGAAGGACAAGACTGTCTTGCTTCAGTAGACTCGGGGCTCCGCGTGTTAAAGTAGCTCTTGTGGTTTGAATCACCGGGATCAGTGGAGTGTGGTTGGTATGGGTGATCTGCCAGTTCCTCACCAGTGGTTTCAGTCAAATCCTGAGTTGGACTCAGGTTCTCTCTGGGGGAGTAGAAACAGTAGAAATATTGAGCCACTTATGAAGCTTGAGCCCTGAAACTAAAAATCTACATCCAGCATGATAAGAAGTTCTCAGTTCAAGTTCTGTTTTCACAGCAGTTTGTATGAAAAGTCATGTATTCTTCAGAAAACACTGATGAAAATGTCAAACATGGTAACTCTATGTGAAATAACACTTTTTTGGTTGAATTTAGAATTATTTTTATGTCTTATCTGGATATATTTTGTCGTATTGCATACAGTACCATTTGCAATGCCTGGTAAAAATGAAGACTCAACTCCACTACAACAATATTTTACTTAAGGTAAAAGTAAGACTGGTATTACTTTGTTCAATGCAATTTTTCATACATATAATCTGATATTAGTTTGTATAAAAATGAAAACAGGTTCCTGTACGTGCTGTACCTGCAGGGGGACATCGAGGGCCCGTGCTCCTCCACAGTCACCAGGCTGCTCAGGCTGCCTGTCAAGCTGCCGCCATGGCTAACTAGGGTATTCTGCTCCTCCATCAGCCAACGCATGGTCTCGATCCCCTCGTGCACGGCCACCAGCTGGCGAAGAATCCGCACATCTGCAGAACGCAGCCACCTCTGCATGAAAAGTGAAAAAGTTAGCATGAAGCAGGCGTAAACAAGAGAACTGGTGTGTGTGCACTGCAGGTATATGTAGGGGCGAGAGCTGAGAGAGGTGTGTGTGTTCACTGTAGCACTGGGGCCCCCAAGACACAACTCTATCTGTCCCCCCCATTAGTGACGTCCCTGCTTGTGTGCTCATTTTCAGAATACATGAAGCAGAAGAAATGAGCTAAAGAACAGAGAGGAATGAGGGAGGAGTGAGGTGGCAGAGAATGAGCAGAGGAATCCAGTCAGAATGTGTCAAAGGACTGGAGGTAAATGAGAGAGAGGCCAGGTGAGGGGTGTGGAGGAGAGACAGGTGACAGGTGAGTGTCATTACACATAAAGCTGAGCAGGAGCAAAATGGAACTCGGTGGTTTTGACATTTTGAGAAAATCATGTGATCAGAATAAACAGCAGTGATGGCTGGAACAGGTTGTGCAAGTTGTGTCATTTCAAATATGGAAACATGCGCAGGTACATGCAGGCGCACCACACGCACACCACCACAAACTCACGCTGAATCATTACAAAACAGAGAGGAAACTGTAACACACATAAATACACAGTGTCTGTAATATGATATTTCCATGCTGGGAATACAGAGAGACGCTTTCTTTACCATCTCTTGCTTTAGGTTGCTGATTTTGTCGGAGAAGCTTTCGCTGAGCGCAGAGCTGCGTTCTTCCCTGTCGACCACATCAGACCTCCAACCATCTTCGCAGTCCGCAGCATCCCTCATCCAAATCAGAAGACTTTCTGGTGTTTTCCTGCCAACTTTGTTTTCCAGTTCTCTTAGATCTGGGAAGGGGTCGTTGAGGGTTTCCTCTGTCATCCCACCGCACTGTAATTACCTCCAAGTATTTCGGTCGGTGGCTTTAGACTGGAGAAGAGCTTGTGCGTAAAAGTCACTTCACCTTTCCAGCTTCCACTGCGTGATGTTAGACCCACAGCAGCTGGGAAAATCACACACTCACAAATCTCCCACACTTTTCAACTGGCAACAAAGTCCACACGTTATATTCCTGAACACTCCACAATAAACCATGATCTCGACTGACAAACCTGCCACAGAAGCGCACAACAAGCCATGAAAACGCTGGAAGTGTGAGCTCATCTGTCCTGCTGACTGCAGCCTGTCACCATTCACTCTACAGAGGTATTGCTGGTATGTGGCCCAGAACGTGATGCTGGAAAGTGGAAGTGCTCTTTGTGTAGCCTTCAAACAATGGTGGGAGTTTCATACCAGCAGTCACATGGAGAGGCTTCAGAGACACCTGTGATCTTTATTACTTTGATTAGAGTTTAATTTGCAATGTTTTAACACATATTATTTGTTAATTTAGGCTATTTATGACCTATGTTTTATCATGTAGCCTATCAAAAATATTACATCAGAATGGAGCTGATATAAAATAATGTTGGCTGCAGGGATATGGGATGAACTCCTGGGATGAACTCCTATTGCCGCTGTAATCATAAGATAAGATAAGATAGGATGCAGACATGTCAAATCCATGACCACATAATGTAATAATGTTGTAATTGTAGTGGACATAACATGACTACCTTTTGTAAAAAATAACTCTGATTCTTATACCCTGCTGTAGCATCTTATTACCAGAATACTCCCAAACAACAAACCAAATGAATGAACACATAAACACAAACATAAGTGACTGAATGAGAAATTTGACATATGAACACATCTGCATTTTAAATATACAAATGATATAGCCTATCTAGCTACAATGTATAATTTAAGCATAATTCAATTCATACACACATGTTATGTTGAAATGTTCGTGTAAAAGAGCAAGCAAAATGTCTAAATAAAAAAAGACTGCTAACAACCTGCGTTGGTTCCAAAAGTCCACTGTATGTACTGAATGAAATGTAGGGAAGATTTATGTTTTAAAATGTTAAACATTAACAAGTAGATATGCAGCCTACTTGTTCAAATAAATGTAGTTCTTTATGAAAAAGAAAGAATTAAGAATAGTGATATTAAGTGGACAGACTATATTTTAGATATATAGATTCAAGTGCTGGCTACTGTCTATGGTTCAATAATCAATATGCAGTATGCCATATGAGTGTTGTAAACTAATGTACAGATTACATGGAGCACTTTGCAGTGTGGAAGTTCTTAATACTTTCCAAAGAGAAAAAACAGGTCTGTGCAGTTGCACAGCACAGCCTACTTTTAGACACAGAGACGAGCCAAATAAGCAGTGACGAAGCTAACATCTGCCACACACTCAAATAGATGATTTATTTTTATTCATCTGTCATCTTGCCCCATATTGGTGCCTTTCAAAACCAGGGCAACAGTTATGGGAGCTTCCTGCCTCCTCATGTTTGAGGTTACGGCCTGCTAAGTGTGTTGTTAGTGAGTGTGTGATACACATTGATGAAGCAGCAGCAGCCAGAAAAAAGATAAAGAATGCATGACAGAAAATAAATTTAAGATGCCTCCCCAGCTTACAGAAAACTAACCTGAAAACTCAGAAGAAAAAGTTATTCTTTTTTATAATTTATTACTTTTATGTGCAAAGAAAAAGTTAGACAATGGGAGGCAGCTTTGTGACTGTGGGAGAAAACTCTCAGGAAGGTTTTACCACTGGCTGCTGTTAGAGGGAGACAAACACTGCTGCATCCAATACAGACCTGTGAAGAAACTGTCAGCAGCCAGGAAGCTCCAACATTGCCAACTGTTTAATAAGGGAGGTAAAAATACATAATAAGGTAAAAATACATTATGTAAATATACATAACTATGCAATGAACATACCATTAACATGAGTAGATGTATGCCTCACACAAACATACACACAAATGCAGTTACTGTTCAAAACCCTTAAACAGGTTAAAAGAGCTCGCTGAAAAATTACTGTTGGGAAAATGTTCAAGAACACACAAAATATGTATGTAAATATATATTTGCCAACATATAAAAACGTATCAACAAATACATATAGCAACACAAATACAAAGTACATACATGGGTAGTACCATGTTTTAAAGAATGAATCATGATCTCACACGGGTGATTTAAAAGGTGACATTTTACTAGCCTATAGCCTTACCTCCCTCAGTGGGTTGCTGCACACTTTAGAGGCTCATAAAGTTCAGTCACCTTTACTCTTAAATCTCAGCAGTGCAACAGAATCCCCTGGTTGGTTTGACTGGAGCTGCTCTGTGGAAGCCAGTATAACGCTGTAGTTATGGTGGGCAGTTCCCAGGTAGGATTGTGTTGAAATATGTATGTATGTGTATGCTGTTGTAGATTAGTTCCCACATGTAAATTGTATCTCTGAACATTACCACTTTTACAGGAATTGTTAAAATTTCAACAAAACAATCTCACCACAAAGTCCATTCAGTAGCTGCTCTCGAACTTTTGATTCATTTTACTGTGCACTTTAAGTACACGTGGGCTCAAAAAATTAACATGTGGGGGTCAGATATGAGCCTGAAACAAGTGAATAGGAGTCACTTCATACATCATTAATAATGACAAATAATTGCTGTTTGTCATATTCTAAACTGAAATATCAACAGTCTGTTAGAAGCTGTTGTTTTTTACAGGGTTTAAATGAAACCCGAAAATGCTTCTGTATTATCCACTAAAACGAGTTATCAAAGGTATACAGACAAATTCAGTAACAGAGCCAAGAACCTGTGGAGAGATGAGATACATTTGATTTGAGATAATAATGAATGTTGGAACACACAGAAAGATCTGATCCAGCTAGTTGCTGTATTGCTACAGCAGCTGATGATGCTCTTGATTTAAAAGCTTTAAATTGATTTCCATTTCCCTCTAATGGAAGTAACATGAAGCATTAATATTCCCTCCACATAAGCTGTCTGTTGCAACATGAATGTCTTTTTGAGGGAGGGGAAATCTGCTCAGCAGGCCACGCTCTCTGACTTTTGGTCAATACATGCAGCTTCTTTTGACGTGATCTGGTAATTGATGTGTTTTGGAGAATCAGCTCACGAGAACTCAAAGAGCTTGTTTCCTATGAAACGGTCTGTAGATGGCAGCAGACATTCAACATTTTTAAGCGCCTGGGTATTTTATGACATTCTCAGAGGTTGAACAATCTAGCTCGATTTTTGCACCTCTGGGAACACATTCATTAGGTCTGTTTTGTTAAGACTACGGATCAAGTGTCACAGATGAGGCACACAGCAACCCTGAAAACTGAGCCTGAGTCAACACTCTGAGGTCATCTCATCTACGTAGGAATCATAAAAAATATGTTTTCTGTAATTTTATAGGAGCGTCTCGGCCATTAATTGTCCACATTTCTTGACAAATACACTCGCCTACTGCGAACACGTTCCATGATTTCATCAGAGAGACACACAATACTGAAAGCAAATTTATCATACTTGACACAACATTCTTGTAATTTCTTGGAGTGAAAAACCAAGTTGGAATGAACAGTGGATGAAAAATCAGGTTACTGCAACCCCGAGGGGCGGGGGGGCTGTAAAATATTACCCACGTATAAGCAAGTGTTTTTTAGAGCAGCTCAGAGTGACCCCTGGGGTCAGCGTTACAGGACGTAGAGGGTAAGCATAAAAATGTTTCACACAGAAAGAATTATGTTTTTTACGAGTCAGGGCCTCTGACTTCCAGTTTTAGGGAAATCATAAACTTACACAAACATTAAAAAATGGTAAGAGTGTGTATGTCATAGAAAGGCCAGCATTATGAGCAGATAAGATTTTACGGCATCTGTCAGTGCAATTAAGTGTGATTTACCATGAATCATAAAGAGGATGTTTATTAGGGGAGTTGCCCTAAATTTTTTGCCAAACCACCTGAAACGTGAAGAGCCAAGTAGTGAACCACATTCACTGATGTGGACTGAATTCATCCTGAAGTCTCTTACACACAGAGAACAAGTGAATGGGAAAAGAGGACTAGATATTTTAACATCCTCGCGGTGTAGCCCAATTCCCCAGTGAATAAGCCTGAAGTGTGTGCATGTGTGTTTGTTTGCATTGAGTCAAGGGTCAGAAAAACAGCATAACAACTGAGGCCACTAGACCAGGAAAGCCCCCAGGTTCACATGGTCTGTGGAAGGTCCTTACATTCAAACAAAGCTAAATTAGGGAGTGTTGTCAGAACTGTCAGAGATGATGTCGGAGATGACTTTAAAGGAATAATTTAACATTTTGGAAAATACGCTTACAGGTAAAACTTTAATTAATAGCCCAGGCTTTTATTTGCTTCAATCTCTGAAATCACCCTGCCTTTATTTGGAACAGGCCTCTATATCAGACAGGCCTTTAATCCTTTTAAAAAATAATTTTAAAGCAATTTCAAAATCAAAGTTGTTGTCAGGTAACTGTCAAAACACAAGAATCCTGATTGTCAGGAGATTATAGACTAATTAAAAAATTAGGAATATTATATTCATTTAACATGTTACACACTGGACTGTCGCTTCACCAATCTCATATATCAAACAAAACACACCCCTTTTTTTTTTATATAGCACGAATTTAACAAACACAAGGTTTCCAAAGTGCTGCACAAAAGATATACAGAATAAATAGATAACACAATCGAAGATACACAATAAAAGATAAAAGCAATAAGATAAAATAAAATAAAATAAGTAAAATAAATAACAGAAATAAATAAAAGCAACTAAGATAAAAATATGCATGTATACACATAGAATAACACTCTACATGGTATCAAAAGCCGAAGAAAGAGGTGGGTTTTAAGAGTTTTAAATGAGAAAGGGGGTTTATAGAAAGTTGCAAAGTTTTGGAGCTGGCAAACGCTGTTTTCTGAGCTTAAGCCTAGCTTTAGGCACTGAATCAGGAGCAGCTGGTCAGCTGACCTGAAAAAAGGGGGGGGGAGGGGGGGGCCAGTAGCTCGAGAGGTGAAGGGGCGGCCATTCAAAGCTTTAAAAGCAAATAAGAATTTTAAAATGAATCCTAAAATGGAACGGGCAACCAGTGGAGTGAAGCAAAAATAGGTAAAATGTGCCCTTCCTTCCGGGGCCCCTTTAAAAAAAAGGCAAAAAAAATTTTTAAAAAATAAAAAAAAAAAAAAAAAACCCCCCCCCCCCCCACAAAAAAAAAAAAAAAAAAAAAACCAACACAAAAAAAAAAAATAAAAAAAAAAAAAAAAAAAAAAAAAAAAAAAACAAAAAAAAAAAAAAAAAAAAAAAAAAAAAAAAAACTCTATATAAGACAGGATTCTGTGCTGTGCAATGTTTTAAAACGGGTTGGAAAGTCTCAAGAATATTGTGTTCATTTAAAAAGTGAATAACAATCTTCTCTAAGATTTTGAGAAAAAGG